ACTTCCTGGTTCTAGTCAGGACTAATGTGGTCGTACTTCCTGGTTCTAGTCAGGACTAATGTGATCGTACTTCCTGGTTCTCGTCAGGACTAATGCGGTCGTACTTCCTGGTTCTAGTCAGGACTAATGAGGTCGTACTTCCTGGTTCTCGTCAGGACTAATGTGGTCGTACTTCCTGGTTCTCGTCAGGACTAATGTGGTCGAACTTCCTGGTTCTCGTCAGGACTAATATGGTCGTACTTCCTGGTTCTAGTCAGGACTAATGTGGTCGTACTTCCTGGTTCTAGTCAGGACTAATGTGGTTGTACTTCCTGGTTCTAGTCAGGACTAATGTGGTCGTACTTCCTGGTTCTAGTCAGGACTAATGTGGTCGTACTTCCTGGTTCTCGTCAGGACTAATGTGGTCGAACTTCCTGGTTCTCGTCAGGACTAATATGGTCGTACTTCCTGGTTCTAGTCAGGACTAATGTGGTCGTACTTCCTGGTTCTAGTCAGGACTAATGTGGTCGTACTTCTTGGTTCTAGTCAGGACTAATGTGGTCGTACTTCCTGGTTCTAGTCAGGACTAATGTGATCGTACTTCCTGGTTCTCGTCAGGACTAATGCGGTCGTACTTCCTGGTTCTAGTCAGGACTAATGAGGTCGTACTTCCTGGTTCTCGTCAGGACTAACGTGGTCGTACTTCCTGGTTCTCGTCAGGACTAATGTGGTCGAACTTCCTGGTTCTCGTCAGGACTAATGTGGTCGTACTTCCTGGTTCTAGTCGGGACAAATGTGATCATACTTCCTGGTTCTCGTCAGGACTAACGGGATCGTACTTCCTGGTTCTCGTCAGGACTAATGTGATCATACTTCCTGGTTGTCGTCAGGACTAATGTGATCATACTTCCTGGTTCTCGTCAGGACTTGAGCTGCTGTGTTTTGAATGTACTGCAGCGATACAAAAATACACTGAATCGAACGGCCTTGCACCAAAGTACCCGGTCAAGTCAGACTCTAAGGAGCACAGGGACTTGGAGTTGCCTTGTGCATGAACCGTGCTAAACTAATAACCTCGCCCCACCTACCTACCTACCCCATACCTCTACATCGCCATAGTCCTGCTTGAGCTTAACACCCTCCTTACAGTAGAAACAGGTGTGAATTCAATAATCCGCGATCATGGAACAGTGTAGGAAGCTTGATCATTTCCGGCCATGTTTCAAAGCCTCTTCTGGAGTCGTGGCGGCGGTGCTGAGACCCGCCTAAATCCGGGCTTAAAGAGAAGAATCCTCTGCTTATCGGCCTGAGAACAGCTCCAGGCGCCCGGGCCTCGTCTGCCCCATTAGCCGCCGCTCTCTAATTGGAGAATCGCTGTGTGTAGAGAGGGGCCGGGGCTATTCAAACGCTCTGTATGCGGTAATCCTCTGCTCTACAAATGTGTGGAGTGACCCTCTGACCCGGCGTCTAATGATGGAGCCACGGCGAGACCACAGTCAATGGGGAAAGCAGACAGAGTTTAGTGGTTTTTGAAGGAGGAAGGAAAAAGGTGGGTATTTATATAAACGCTGGAGTGGGTTTGGAGTGTTCAACAGGGCGGGCGTGATTCATCCAAAAATGAAAATAAGATTCACGTAACGGTCAATGATGGGCTCGGGTCTGTCTTTAATCCGTCTGTAACTGTGGCTTCAGAGAATACAACACTTTGGACTCCCAGAGCAGTCAATTTGCCGACTTGTTTTTGTTTTGGAAGCTCTTCTTCAGTAGGTTTTTGGTCTTCAAAACATTGTGACTTTTTCCTGTATCTTTATGTAGTTTATTCTATGTTATTATAAAATTATCTCGACCCTGGACTGGTTCTGGACTGGTTCGGAGTCATCTCAGCTTGGAGCTATAGTGCTAGTTACCATAGCAACAAACTGTTTACTTGCATCAGTTAGCGTTTAGTTTAGCCAACTTTAGCGTGTGTTAAGAATACAAAACATATGAATTACTTAACATTAATAAAAGCAGTAAAAAAAACGAAAACGTTTTGAGGGGGATTGTTCAGGATTCTAATAAATTGAATGGGAGCCGTCAAAATGACTGCTCTGGGAGTCCAAGTGTTGACTATGAAACTACAGTGAATGCAGGTCGGGTCAGAGGTCAGAGGTCAGAGCTGAGCCAGGATATTTAAGGACATTTATTAAAATTTACAGACAGATGTCGGACTAAATGGATATAAATCTTTTTGTTTTTCTTCAGATAACTAACTTTCAAATGAGGTATAACAGACCATGGTAATATTAACGCATTACTACCATCAATGCTGCAAATGAATCCTAATATTTGAAAATCAGTTTAGCCGCTAAGATCTACACCAGGTGTCTCCAACCTTTTTCACCCAGAGAGCTACTTTCCCGCTACAATAACAGCAGAGAGCTACTCCTTTGAGATGCCCAGGGAAAAATGTGGTGATATGTTAGTGTGAACTAGTTTATTATTGGGTACAGTCAGTATTTATCATCGCATATCTGTTACTAGTGCACAAAGTAAGTGCATTTACAAGAATATAATGAATAATACAATTTTAAATAGTTAGTATAATATTTCTTTTGTTCATTTCTAAATCCTTTGGCGAGCTACCTGGAAGGAGGTGGAGAGCTACGGGTGGCTCCCGAGCTACAGGTTGGAGACCCCTGATCTACACAGTTGGGCCGGATTGTGCAAAAACAGGTCAAAAGCAGAGAACAAGTGAACGCAGACCAGGTTTAAACAGTTTATACACGACCAACACCAGAGTCCTGCGTGAGTGAACCATGTGGCGGCTGATCAATAAGTCTGAGGTAATTAGAAATGATCGGGAAGTTTCACGCAATGATCCAGAAGGTTGGTGGTTCAATCCCAATTTCAACCTGAACACGTTCCTCTTTCATCCGTGACTTTGGATTAAACATAAGACTAAGGTGCATCAGGTTTCTCTATTCTAATGTATTTGCTCAAAATCACAACAGTTTCCATCCGACCAATCAGAGAGCGGGGGAGGCGGGTGTTGTAGGTCGGTGTCGGTGACGTCACAGTTTGTGCTGAATTTGCTGGTTGTAGTTTGTCGGAGAATGCAATAGTAAAATAATCTGTTCTGGTTCAATCCAAATATCAAGAAACTGAAGCCGGAGCAAGTGGAATGTTTAGTAAATGTCATTGAAGCAAAGATGTTGTGGCTCAACTCCCCACGGGCTCCGTTAGTGGCAAAGGAAATGGCTAAAGCTAGGCTAAATGCTAAAGCTAGGCTAAATGCTAAAGGCCTCACTCACTCGGGCTCATTACATACGTCACAGTAAACTCAGATCCAATGGTTTCAATCTGCAAAAGGAGTTAGCCCCTCCCACCTGTTCACGGAGTCAATGGAGCAAATCCAGACCTTAGAATGAAATGAAATGAGTATGATGGTGTGGTAAGACCAGGCTAGTCCACAACCAATGTCCATAAATGTTGATAAAGTCCATAAATGATGTCTCTCTCTCTCTCTCTCTCTCTTTGGTCCTTCATTGTAAGTAAAACTAGGAACCTTCTTTCTATGCGGCGGCCATTACAATATTCAAAATGAGTTGTTAAACTTGTCTAAACAATTTGGAAGAAAAATCATATTCTCGCTCTCGGCTGCCGCTGCTATAGCATTAACCACATTTTCAATACTACTTCAATACTACACAGGATTCAATATTGGATTTGCTCCTTGCAGAAAATGTGTGCTGCAAGCTAAAAATCCACTTGAGTCGCATCTCTGGAGAGAGTGAGGTGGCAAGTGGACAGGAATAAAACATTGCGGAGGAGATGCGCCAAGCTAGCATAAGGACAATAATAATACAGCCTTTTCTACACAGCTGCTAATGCCTCTCTCCCAGATTTTGCAGAAACATACACAAAGTGAGGACGGTTTTGCATAATCCCAAAGGACTTATGGAGTCGTTCGTATCTGCCAAACATCCGGAGGTAGTACAATGGGAGGTTTTCATAATTTACCGCACTTTTTACCGCATTATTTGTGCAGCGTTGTTAACATATTTACATAATGAGGAGGATAAAACACAATGCGATGGAATGAGGATTATTGTAGAAAAAGTCCCTAAACTTTTCTCTGGTGAATTGGTCATTTCCCTTGTCCACAAAGAGCAACGCAAACGTCACAAAACTGCTGTCAGACTGTACACTGAACACATCTGACTCTTATCAAGACCTGCATCACGACTCCCACTGATGTCTGCTGTCGTTGTGTCCTCGGGCAAGACACTTAACTCCACTTTGCCTGAAGCCCCTGCTGAAAGACCTCAGCTCCTGTGGACTCAGCACCTGCAGGAGGATCAGTGAGGGGCTGGTGCTCTGTGGACTGGGTGTAAGTAAGTAAGTTTTTATTTATATACCGCCTTTTCACTGCAGATCTGAGTCTCAAAGCGGTTTACAATTGTTAATTTTGGGCATTTGTCTCTCACTCCACACAGAGATGGGAGCGGGGTCGCCAGTACAGGAGGCGCATGCCAGAACTATTGGACATATTTTTTTTAGTGGTAGGGGAAACCAGAGTACCCGGAGGAAACCTACGCAGACACGGGGAGAACATGCAAACTCCACTCAGAAAGGCCCTGGTCCGACCGGGATTCGAACCCAGGACCTTCTTGCTGAGAGGCGAGAGTGCTATCCACTCAGCCACCGTGCCGCCCATAGCTCTGACTGCCACCCCCCCGACCCAGACATGGATTAAGGGGAAGAAGATGGATGGATGATTATTTATGATCGTAATACCTTTAATATCTTGTGTGATCGTTCTTGTTTATTAAATCCTGTTTTTTTTTTAACCACTTTGATTTGCCTTGGTCATGAACTGTGCCATACAAATACCTCCCATTACCACAGACGTTTACATTACAGTGAAAGTGAATACTGCAGACAGCCCCAGTCCTGTGGTCCCCGGGCGCCTCAGGGCCTGGACTGCCTATAGTCCCGGTGACAGTGGGACTTGTTGAGGTGGCACATTCTTGTCGGGGTCAGGGCCGGAGCCGGGGCCGGAGCCTGCAGCCGCTCACAGCTGTTGTGTGATTGATGGCCGCTTCTCGAGCTGTCAGCGCTCTGCTTTCTGCCAACCCTCCTGAGTCCACTGCTCCCAGCTCTGAATCTAAGGCTATATCCACACGAAGACAAAACGCTTATAATTTCAGAAACTTTTTTTGTAAACACGGAGTTAGCTCAGTAAATGTGTGCGTCCATATGAATGTAGTCAATACGCCTGAAAACGCTGTGAAACTATGCCAGACCTGTTGGTGGCGCTGTGACGCAATGACGGGATCAAGCCCAAACTTCCGTGACGGGAACTGGGCATGCGCGGAATGTAGTAAACAGACAACATGGCGAGTGGGCGAGCTGGTACTACATTAGTATGGACGGACGATGAGGTTGAACTGTTGCTTCGGGTCACACTGGATTACAAAACCAACAAGCTACATTGTTGTTGTCATTATTTTCTGAGTGCGGCGCATGCTGCTTTAACAACAGGCGGGGCGATGACGCAAGCGTCTCAGATACATTGCGGAGAGGCAGTAACCACGGAGCGGCATATACGGAGTTTTGAAATCTTTCCACTCTGGGACCTACTTTCAAAAATGTTCGTTTACACCCCCCCAAAACGCCGGCCTCGTATGGACGATACACTGGATTGATAAAGTATTTTTGCGTTTAGGCCTGAGCTTGACTTCGTGTGGACAGGGCCTATATTTCATCTCAAACTCTGCATAAGTCCAGCCCGGGACAAACACACACACACTGTTGTTTGTGTTTGTCCAGCCCGGGACAAACACAAACAACAGTGTCTTTTACATTACCAAGAAACGTTCATCTGCAAGAGACAGAGCGGAGGAACTGTGTGTTTTTTTTAACCTCACTGGAACTTCATGAACATTTGATGTTTTCATCCCTTTGTCACTTGTTCTGTTTTTATACATACTTTATTTCTATGCAGAATTTTTTTTTGCTTTTGAAATATACTACCCTTAACGTCCAGAGAAGTCAAATTCATCCATTTCCAATCCCTCGAAAACCAACATTAATGACATTCAAAGCCTTTCTCTCTAAGGTTCTGGTTCTGGTAAGTGCTAGTTACCATGGCAACACACAATCAGGGCGGCACGGTGGCTGAGTGGATAGCACTCTCGCTTCTCAGCAAGAAGGTCCTGGGTTCGAATCCCGGTCGGACCAGGGCCTTTCTGAGTGGAGTTTGCATGTTCTCCCCGTGTCTGCGTAGGTTTCCTCCGGGTACTCCGGTTTCCCCTACCACTAAAAATATGTACAATAGGACTGTGCATGCGCCTCCTGTACTGGCCCCTCCCATCTCTGTGTGGAGTGAGAGACAAATGCCCAAAAAAAATAATAACAATTGTAAACCGCTTTGTGACCCTTGTCTGTGAAAGGCGGTATATAAATAAACATTACTTACTTACACTGTCTACAGCATTTAGCCTTTCACCGAACTCTGTCATATGTTTTTTTCTGTTATATTCACCAGTTTTAGCACTTATTAAAAGTGACTAAAGGTAATCAATCAATCAATCCTTTATTATCTTACACAGATGGAGAAATTCAGTTCAATGAATAAACATCAAGGCCGGCCGCGTACTCTAATTTTCCGCGCTCCTTATGACAATCACTTTATACATGAGTAACTTTTAAGAAAAATTGTCAAATGTCATTTATTTGAAGCAGAGGCATCAAAATGGCTGCTCTGGGGGTTTCTAGAAGTTCCATAATTCTGCGAGTCTTAGTGTTTTTAACAACAACAGCACTTAATCGGTCACTTCTGCCAATTACCCGAGGTGTGTCCCTTATTTTGAGTTGTGTTTGCTCCGTGTGTGTCCGCTCATATCCTTCCAGCACTTTCTTAATCTCCAAGTGCCAGAGATCCGTCCCTGTGCTCCGCGAAAGCCTACGATATTGGCGTTTCACACAAAAAACTGTCAATCACGCTATTTATTCAGCCAAGGCAAATTCATTTTCAATTACATTCACTCCTGCTCCGCATACGACTCGAACGAGAGGAAAAAAAATCACAGTCGCTATTGGTCACAGGGACTTAATCCTGCGCTGAATGAGGCGATGCACGTACGGAGAGGCCGCGGTGATTGAGGACGTGGGAGGCTGTTCGTACGGGTTAAAAACACATATTTACAGAGCGCCGTGAAGAGGTCGTCAAGCAGAGACCTCCAGATAATGAGAAGGAAGAATGGGGGAAAGTGCAGATTAGGCAAGTTTAGTAATTACTCCACAACTTTGGCCAAGGTGATGTGGAGAGAGCAGCCAGAGGACGCCTGGACCTGGGCTTGGATCTGGTTTAGGGCGGACCGCGATGAGGGTGAAGAGGATGTGAAGGGGATTCTGGGAAGAATTCTGGAGACACTTTCTGTTGTTGCTCAGAGGATGTTACAGAAGCAGTGTCAAAAAGGCCACGTTTGGTTACAGCTGTTTTTGTGTGGAAGGTCAGGGGTGGAGTCCAGTCTTACTCCTCCTAGTCCCAGCAGGAGGCCAGTCCCTGTGCTCCTCAGAGTCCCAGCAGGAGGCCAGTCCCTGTGCTCCTCAGAGTCCCAGCAGGAGGCCAGTCCCTGTGCTCCTCAGAGTCCCAGCAGGAGTCCAGTCCCTGTGCTCCTCAGAGTCCCAGCATGAGGCTAGTCCCTGTGCTCCTCAGAGTCCCAGCATGAGGCTAGTCCATGTGCTCCTCAGAGTCCCAGCAGGAGTCCAGTCCCTGTGCTCCTCAGAGTCCCAGCAGGAGGCCAGTCCCTGTGCTCCTCAGAGTCCCAGCAGGAGTCCAGTCCCTGTGCTCCTCAGAGTCCCAGCATGAGGCTAGTCCCTGTGCTCCTCAGAGTCCCAGCATGAGGCTAGTCCCTGTGCTCCTCTGAGTCTGAGTTGGTTCTTATTGCACTAACAAGGCACAAAAACAAAGCAAATTCAAACTAAAAAGCGTGTCGTGCCAAATCTGCAATTACTTTCTCTAAAACACTCAATTTAAAACAAAATCTTAATTTAATTTCTCATTTGCGTACAGATGTCTTCCTCATGCATAGGCCCTGACTCGGGCTCGTTGCGGTCTCACTTGAGGTTGACTCTTAAATCCCCTGCGTGGGTTACATTAAGAGCGTACAGTATGCGGCGGTAGGAGCAGAGGGGCTCAGGGTTTAGCAGGAGCGGCTTGTTGGTAATTAATCCAGGCCTATTCTCTGATGAATGGGCCACACTTAGTCTTAGTCCTTCACTATATATTATCCGCTACAGTTATGCTTCGACAGGCTAAACGTCGGCACGAGAACGGAAACTCTGCGGCCGCACTGTCAGCTGCATTTATCTGCACTTAGATAAAAATAACTGGGAATAGCAGCTCGCCGGCTGATGGCTTGGTGCCGAACTCTGCTAATAATCCTTGTGTTTGGGCTGTCTCTCTCAATGTTGTAACGGCCGCCTCATACGAAGAGAAGGACAGGTCAAGAGAAGGCGATTGTGCACAGACATGGATTTGTTTTACAGTGTACATCCACTCAGACTAGTTTTACAGTGTACATCCACTCAGACTAGTTTTACAGTGTACATCCACTCAGACTAGTTTTACAGTGTACATCCACTCAGACTAGTGTGAGGAACTTATGGAACAGACATGGTTCTGTCTCGATCCTGTGATATAAGAATGTTTTTGAGCCACTATGACCTCACACTCAGAGAGACTAGAGGGAGACCAGAGAGAGACTAGAGGGAGACCAGAGAGAGACTAGAGGGAGACCAGAGAGAGACCAGGGAGAGACTAGAGGGACACCAGAGAGAGACTAGAGGGAGACCAGAGAGAGACTAGAGGGAGACCAGAGAGAGACTAGAGGGAGACCAGAGAGAGACTAGAGAGAGACTAGAGAGAGACCAGAGAGAGACTAGAGGGAGACCAGAGAGAGACTAGAGAGAGACCAGAGAGAGACTAGAGAGAGACTAGAGAGAGACCAGAGAGAGACCAGAGAGAGACCAGAGAGAGGCTAGAGAGAAAGAGACCAGGGAGTGACTAGAGAAAGACCAGAGAGAGACCAGGGAGAGACTAGAGAGAGACCAGAGAGAGACCAGAGAGATACCAGAGAGATACCAGAGAGTCCTTATCCAGTCCCTTAATAATAGCACTATGAATGTTTGTGCTGTACATGTTCCACCAAAACCTTCCTGGATTCATTGGAAAATAAATTCCGCAAAGTCTGGTCCAGTCCCTTGTTCCTATTCCATGTAAACATTCCCAAGATCAAGGAACTTCAAAAAATAACGTCCACGGAAAAAGTGTGAAACCGGCCTAACGTCAGAGTTTGGCCCTTCCTCTGCGCCCGCAGGAAACACGCAACAACACGGTTTGCGCAACATATCGTTCCATCGCAATCAAAAAGAAAGCTGAGGCAAACTTTCCAGAAAGCTGTCAAATTATTCATGAAAACAGCTGGTGGCAGAGCTCACACCCACACAGGTTCTAAAGTGCATTGGTAAGAAAGAAAAAAAAAACATAGAATCGAAACTTTTGGAAACGGCAGCGATAAGGCCATGTTCGCAGCCTCATAAATGACAAAAGAACGTTATCTCATCTGCCAATAAAACTCCGACGCCAAAGCCAGGCACACGTTTATCTGCAGATTTATTGCAAAGACAAGCCTCTGCAGAGCTGGAGATTCCGTTATTTGAATGCGAGGACTTTCTTTTTCACACACCGGCGCATTAGGGAGTCGGGCTTGGCCTAGTTTGTGCGTGTGGGGAGAGGGGTGGGCTAACGCTAACGCTAACGCTGCAGCAGGCGCCGAGAAGGCTGCGTGTGGGAGTTAAAATAATGCAAATGGAGGTAAATGAAAAATGGTACAAAGTGGGGCGGTAAATGATTCTGTTTAATAGATCTGTTGGTGGAAACGTGCCTCGTCCTGCGGCACCTTGAAACGCTCTCAATGTTTCCCCGAAAAGGATTTGATTCTATGTTTTATGTTTATATAGCACTGAGTCACAAAAGCAGCAGATTTGGAAAAAATACATCAGGAAATCGAATAGTGTGACCACAGGGAACACAATGATGAAGCAATGCAGAGTCTGAGGAGCACAGGGACTGGTCTCCTGCTATGACTCTGAGGAGCACAGGGACTGGTATCTTGCTGGGACTCTGAGGAGCACAGGGACTAGTCTCCTGCTATGACTCTGAGGAGCACAGGGACTGGCCTCCTGCTAATCCGAGGACTAAATCAGGACTAAACAAGAGGAGGTAGCGTTTCAGATTCATGCAGCTAAACAGTCTTCTTGAAAATGTGAGACAGACTTCTTCTCTGACAATGTTCAAATCTAGGTCAAAAACAGTAGATGTAGACGAGGCCATTTAATGACACTACACCGATTGTATGAACACAAAGACACACAGCAGAGAGAGAGAGAGAGGCTCTGGCCCTCAGGAGGCCCTCAGGAGGCCCTTAGCAACACCATGTAGATAAGGGCCTTAGCTACATGGTGTTGTCAAAGAGAGAGAGAGTCCACAGACGGAGAGACACCCCCCCAGCAGTGATCTCACCCACAGCAGTGATCTCACCCACAGCAGTGATCTCACCCACAGCAGTGATCTCACCCACAGCAGTGATCTCACCCACAGCAGTGATCGCACCCACAGCAGTGATCTCACCCACAGCAGTGATCTCACCCACAGCAGTGATCTCACCCACAGCAGTGATCTCACCCACAGCAGTGATCGCACCCACAGCAGTGATCTCACCCACAGCAGTGATCTCACCCACAGCAGTGATCTCACCCACAGCAGTGATCTCACCCACAGCAGTGATCTCACCCACAGCAGTGATCTCACCCACAGCTCACCCACAGCAGTCCACAGCAGGATCTCACCCACAGCAGTGATCTCACCCACAGCAGTGATCTCACCCACAGCAGTGATCTCACCCACAGCAGTGATCTCACCCACAGCAGTGATCGCACCCACAGCAGTGATCGCACCCACAGCAGTGATCGCACCCACAGCAGTGATCTCACCCACAGCAGTGATCTCACCCACAGCAGTGATCTCACCCACAGCAGTGATCGCACCCACAGCAGTGATCTCACCCACAGCAGTGATCGCACCCACAGCAGTGATCGCACCCACAGCAGTGATCGCACCCACAGCAGTGATCGCACCCACAGCAGTGATCTCACCCACAGCAGTGATCTCACCCACAGCAGTGATCGCACCCACAGCAGTGATCTCACCCACAGCAGTGATCTCACCCACAGCAGTGATCGCACCCACAGCAGTGATCTCACCCACAGCAGTGATCGCACCCACAGCAGTGATCTCACCCACAGCAGTGATCGCACCCACAGCAGTGATCTCACCCACAGCAGTGATCTCACCCACAGCAGTGATCGCACCCACAGCAGTGATCGCACCCACAGCAGTGATCTCACCCACAGCAGTGATCGCACCCACAGCAGTGATCGCACCCACAGCAGTGATCGCACCCACAGCAGTGATCTCACCCACATGTCACACTTGATCAGTCAGGACACAGTACTGGCAGAGATATGGACTGTGTTGTTTATAATTTACAGAAGTAAATCTGTTCACTTTTGTGTGTGACGTCACTTCCTGTTTACAAGCCCTGTAGAGGCGCAGAGCTTGGCTAGTTGCATCTACAGAATCCATGTCCATCTTTTGCTGAAGACTGGTCCATCAAAGTCGTTACTAAATGTGACATGATTAGATACGTATATATGTGTGGATAGAAGTTTATATATAGTTTATATATATGAAAAAAATGCAATTAGTTCAGTTAAAATACATGATTAAGTTTTGCTAAAAAACGGCATGCTACAATGTCCTATGCCAAGAGAAGCTGCATTTGTAGTATGTCTGGTAAACATTATCATTTATGTGAAACTGAATATGTCTTGTTTTTCTGTATTTTTATGCAGTTTTCAGTCCATGTTATGGTGAAAGACTCTTCACAGTGAAGAAAAGAAATACTGCGTTGACTCGTCTCTTTGTCCTGAATGGAGTTTAGCTCGGTGTTTTGTCCACGGCTCCTACGCCTTGGCAAGAACATTAAAGACCTTATGCCGGGTTTAAAAAAAAAAAATATTGTGGATATCAAAATTGCATGACAATGTCAATCTGAAAGAGATTCCGGCAAAAAAAATCCTATATTTTATAAAAAGAACGTGTTTTTCATGAATTTAATTTGTCTATGCTCTAACCTGTGTGTGACGTCACAGCGGGTAACGCCCATGCATTGAAAACCATGGATCTATGCCACAGGACTGCCTTTTCTCTCTTCTCTCCTCTGATGCCCAACACAATACTGCCCTCTACAGGTGACAATTACTCACTACACATAAATTGCCATTTGAGAGTGAAAATGTGTCTGAGGCGGGATTTGAACCCCAGTATCTGGATTGGCAGTCCATCGACACAACCACTGGACTATCTCAGTGCCAACGAAGAGTTATAATCTAGTACATATATCACACTCGCTGTACACGGCCTTGTCATCTTGAATATCCGCGAAAAAAGAACAAATACCAAATTGTAAACAACTTACAGCGTTGAAACGTACCCGTTCTGACGTCACCAAGGGCTGTGAAGTTTTTTCGTCTCTAAGGGCGTTGCTATGGGGTTATTTCGATTTGGGGGGATCAGACAAAAAAAACAACAACTGATTTTGAAACCTTTAGTAGTTCTCTTCTAATATAAAATGGTATTAATACTGTATTTCTAAATAAATCAAACCCGTCATAAGGTCTTTAAAGGGACCATGGAGATAGGGACCATAGATCACAGAACATCGCAAGCAAAAATTGTAGAAAATAAATCCCAATAACCTGTTATGATATAGGAATACCAGCACAATCACTTGTTCCTTTTGGACCCACATGGTCTCCGCAGTCTGCTGGTAAATGACGATATAAAAGGTCTGCAGATATTTTGTGTTTTTGCTGAGGCCAAAATACTGCCTGTGTTAAAACTCCAAACGTTGCACCGTGCGCTGCTCTGTAATAATCAAAGTTTTAGGGAAATATATCCATTCGACTCTTTCTCGGGGTTCCACAGCCGGCTTTACCCATAATGCAGCAGTGTAATCGCATTGTGTCTCAGCGGCGGAGACGAGTTTGCACCGTGTGGCAATAAACTCATCAATAGCATTAAATTATGGGGTTTTTTTATTGGGGAAAGTGGGATTCTGCTCCTGTTTGAAATTCTTACTCGGATTGTATTTTTGTCTGTGGGAGTGGATCCTTCTCTCCCTCAGGTTTCAAGAATTTTTTTGCTTCTAGTTTTTGGGTTTTTTTGAGTCGTTTCTTGCCGATGCAGAAGGATCCATGGTGTTTTTCAACCCATGGTACGTCAATGTGCCTCAATATGACATAGACAATCATATTTAGAGAGACTTGTTTGGTGTTCTGTGTTCTATACTGTTATGGAAATGACTCTAGTGTTAATAAAGGCCACAGAATTTCAATATTTTTAAATGTAAAATTAGTCCCAGGTCTCAAAAACTAGATTTTCCAGTTCAGCATTGGCATCAGATGGAAAAGCCTGTGCTACTTTGGCCCCACACACACTTTTGGCCTTTGGCTCTAAATGCATTTGCAGCATGTTTACTGTCTCTGCCTTTTCAATGTTGACAAAGAAACACATTTTTGTCCTTATACAGTTCATAAAAGTCTGAAATCCAACAGCAGCAGCAGCAGCAATAGTAACTCGCAGCCCCCAGAAGCTCCCCTGGTCTGGTCTGGTCTGGCCTGGTCTGTGTGAGTCTGGCACGACCGCTGAGGGCTCATTTACAGGGCCCTGAGGCTCCGGGCGCAGGGTGGGGCGCCAACGTTTATTTTGAAGGGACTTGTTAGCTTCTGTGCGAGCTGCAGCGGCACGCCCTCCGAGAGCACGAGCCCAGTCAGCTCTGATGTTATGAACTCACAAAGTGCCAATCAAAACCACAATGTTACTTTATATAATTGTAATTTATATAATCAAATATGACAGGGTTTAAAAAGCATGTATGCAAAGACGTTTATGGATATTTACTCTCTTTTATGGCCATTCTTTTCTCTACAGACCAATGGAGGAGTTTACAAAGCTGTCGATTCGCCAACAACAGATCAGAGAATCATTGATCTTTGACATTTGATGATAGATACATAATTAGCCAAAAATGCTAACAAACGATGCTAATTGCTCACACTTAAAACCCAATTTGTGGATCATAGAACAGACATGAAAAGAGGGGCTAAAATTGCCAGAATCTTATTTGTTTCTTTTTCCCACGAGGTACTGAAATGATACTGGCGTGTGTATGTTGGAGGGGCTGAAGCTGGCTGGATGACCTTGTGTTTATGATCTCTGCCTTGGACTAATTGTTTAGCATAACCGCATGTCGACATTGTACAATCCTCACAAATCAATTAAATCTCGTCCGATCACCAATATCTCACGTGACTTCTAAATCAGCCGTTCCCTCGTGACTCATGTTTTGATTACGGGACGCAAATGTAGACTGAGCTCTCCAACAACAGCAGAGAAGCAGTATCTGATGGGAGGGGCCTGGCATTAGGGGCGGAGTCTACTACTACAGCTACAAAATTGGATAAATATTGTGGAATGAAACCAGAAACACTTCATCCATTTTACTATAGAGTAAACATCTCTAAAGAGTTAATTTTCTACTAATTCAAACTCATAACAACACACACAAAACTGGCAGCATCTGATGGGAGGGGCTGGGAGGGGAGGGGAGGGGCCAATCAAAAGGGGCGGAGTCTACTACAACTATTTCAAAATTGGACAAAGATGGCGGCGTGAAACCAGATCCACTTCATCTGTCTATAGATCATTTTCAACTCACTTAAACTCACAATGACACACACAAACTGGCAATATCTGATGGGAGGGGCTTGGAGGGGAGGGGAGGAGCCTAGCAAAAGAGGCGGAGTCTACTACAACAAAATTGGACAAAGATAATGGCTTGTCTACAGAGGAAAGAGATAATTTTCTACACATTTAAACTCAGAACGCGGCACACAAACATGATTGACAGTGAAGGCAGCGGGAGGGGGCGGGACTTACGGGTGCACGCCACAGACGGTGGGTCGGACAGCGCTCGGTAGTAGCCGTCCTCGCAGTCGCACCTCCAGGAGCCCTCGCGGTCGTTGAAGCTGTGGGCGGGACAGCGGGAACACTGCAGGTCCTGAGACGACGACTTGTAGAATCCACGGCCACACGCTGCGCACACAGAGGACCAGAATCAGGGAAAGTGAAAGTGAAACCAAAACACAGAGCGGACCAGAGTCAGTGAGTGTGGAACCAAACAAAACATGTGCTCTCTCTCTCTCTATCTATCTGTCTCTCTCTCTCTCTCTCTTTCTCTCTCTATCTCTCTCTGGTCTCTCTCTCTCTCTCTCTCTCTCTCTGGTCTCTCTGGTCTCTCTCTCTGGTTTATCTCTCTCTCTGGTCTCTGTCTCTCTCTCTCTGGTCTCTCTCTCTTGTCTCTCTCTCTCTCTCTCTCTGGTCTCTCTCTCTGGTCTCTGTCTCTCTCTCTCTCTCTCTAGTCTCTCTCTCTCTCTCTCTCTCTCTCTCTCTCTCTCTCTTTCTGTCCTGTCCCTCTCTGGTCTCTCTCTCTCTGGTCTCTTTCTCTCTGGTCTCTCTCTCTTGTCTCTCTCTCTCTCTCTGGTCTCTCTCTCTTGTCTCTCTCTCTCTCTCTCTCTCTCTCCTGTCCCTCTCTCTGGTCTCTCTCTCTTGTCTCTCTCTCTCTCTGGTCTCTCTCTCTTGTCTCTCTCTCTCTCTGGTCTCTCTCTCTCTCTGGTCTCTCTCTCTCTCTTGTCTCTCTCTCTCTCTGGTCTCTCTCTCTTGTCTCTCTCTCTCTCTCTCTCTCTCTCTCTCGCTCTCCTGTCCCTCTCTCTGGTCTCTCTCTCTCTGGTCTCTCTCTCTTGTCTCTCTCTCTCTCTGGTCTCTCTCTCTTGTCTCTCTCTCTCTCTGGTCTCTCTCTCTTGTCTCTCTCTCTCTCTGGTCTCTCTCTCTTGTCTCTCTCTCTCTCTGGTCTCTCTCTCTTGTCTCTCTCTCTCTCTCTCTCTCTCTCCTGTCCCTCTCTCTGGTCTCTCTCTCTTGTCTCTCTCTCTCTCTGGTCTCTCTCTCTTGTCTCTTTCTCTCTCTGGTCTCTCTCTCTTGTCTCTCTCTCTCTCTGGTCTCTCTCTCTTGTCTCTCTCTCTCGCTCTCTCTCTCTCTCCTGTCCCTCTCTCTGGTCTCTCTCTCTTGTCTCTCTCTCTCTCTGGTCTCTCTCTCTGGTCTCTTTCTCTCTCTCTTTCTTTCTTTCTTTCTCAGTTGGGAGAGCACTGGTCTTTGGTCCTAATGGTTGTGGGTTCGATCCTACGACCCATGTCACCTGCTCCCAATGATGTCTGCTGCCGTTGTGTCCCTGGGCAAGACACTTTACCCCCTGAACCCCCCACTGAGAGACCAACAAACACACAGTAAAAGTTAAAGGTCAAGTCAAAAAGCACAACTTAAATGATTAAAAAGTTTCAGTTTTTAATCCTGTCCAACACCGCTTCTGTGTTGCTTCGCTTTATGTTTTAGAACAGGCATGTCAAAGTCAAATACATCAAAGGGCCAAAAAAAAAAGTTTGCTACGCGCCGAGGGCCGGACTGGTTCAATGTTTCTCAACATCCAGAGGCAGTGCCGGTGACACCTGTTGGCTCGATAAAATATGCTCTAAAGCCAATCCTCATACTGTACATATTAGATGTAATAAATAGTAAATAGTAAATAGTAAAAAAAAAAAAAAAGCTCAAACTTGGTGAAATGCAAAAGAGCAGTCTGGACCTCTTTTCGGGGCGTTTTTTGATTAAATCTGCAGAATGGATTATACTTTGGGAAATACAAGTGGATATTCTTCTTCAATAGACAGTTACGGAGAGAAAGAGACTAAGCAAGGATGGGGAAAGTCTAATTTGTTGGAGCAGCAGAAGACAAAAGGTAAAAAACAAATATAGATGTGATTTATTTTGTGCCCATATTATGCGTTATATCTTTTTAATGCAAAGTCTGATATCGTTTACACTTACATATAAATATAGCTGAGAAAATAAGCTTTAAAATGATATATAGCTTGTGGCTTAGGAAGTTCAAAATACATCTGCTGGGGGCTAGCGAGCTTAAGGGGTCAACACATTGCCTCAATGGAAGGCAATGTCCCGGGGGCCATAGATAATTCATTCGCGGGCCGGATTTGGCCCGCGGGCCTTGACTTTGACACATGTGTTTTAAAGGGTTTAGTACATGGCCCCCCCCCCCCCCCCCCCCCCCACCACTCCTCAGCCTCTCTCTCTCTCTCTCTCTATCTCTATCTCTTTCTGGGTCTATCTCTCTATCTCTTTCTGGGTCTATCTCTCTCTCTCTTTCTGGGTCTATCTCTCTCTCTCTCTCTTTCTGGGTCTATCTTTCTCTCCCTCTCTTTCTGGGTCTATCTCTCTCTCTCTCTCTCTCTCTCTATCTCTCTTTCTGGGTCTATCTCTCTCTCTCTCTCTCTCTATCTCTCTTTCTGGGTCTATCTCTCTCTCTCTCTCTCTCTATCTCTCTTTCTAGGTCTATCTTTCTCTCTCTCTCTCTCTCTATCTCTCTTTCTGGGTCTATCTTTCTCTCTCTCTCTTGCTGGGTCTCTCTCTCTCTATTTCTGGGTCCCTCTCTCTTTCTGGGTCTCTCTCTCTCTCTTTCTGGGTCTCTCTCTCTCTTTCTCGGGTCTCTCTCTTTCTGGGTCTCTCTCTCTCTGGGTCTCTCTCTCTCTCTCTCTCTCTCTGTGTCTATTTCTGCCTCTCTTTATTTGTGTGTGTCCCTCTCTCACCCTCTCTCTCTCTCCCTCTCCCTCTCTCTCTCCCCCTCTCCCCCCTCTCTCTCTCTCCCCCCCCCCCTCTCCACCCCATAATAACCCTAAAAATATAAGCAATCCTCCTTCAATCTAACCTCTGCTCCTCGTGAACAGACATTGACAGAACAAATTCAATGCCTCCTTAAACGAAGCCGCCCTCGACAAACCCCCGTCACCACAGATTGAGACGCAAAGGGACGAACAGAGTTTAGGCTTTTATGTTTTTCTCTATCTCTCTCTGTCTCTCGCTCTTCCTCATTCTCTCTCTTTGTGTCTATTTCTCTCTCTCTTTCAGGGTCTCTCTCTCTCTCTCTGTGTGTCTATTTCTGCCTCTCTTTCTGTGTGTGTGTCCCTCTCCTCTCTCTCTCTCCCTCCCCCCCTCTCTCTCTCCCCCTCTCTCTCCCTCTCTCTCTCTCCCTCTCTCCCCCTCTCTCCCCCTCTCTCTCGCTCTCTCTCTCTCTCCCTCTCTCCCCCTCTCTCCCTCTCTCTCCCTCTCTCTCTCCCCCCTCTCTCCCTCTCTCTCTCTCCCTCTCTCCCCCTCCCCCCCTCTCTCCCCCTCCCCCCCTCTCTCCCCCCCTCCCCCCCTCTCTCTCTCTCTCCCTCCCTCCCTCTCTCCCCCTCTCCCTCTCCCCCTCTCCCTCTCTCTCCCCCTCCCCCCCTCTCTCTCTCTCTCCCTCCCCCCCTCTCCCCCTCTCCCTCTCCCCCTCTCCCTCTCTCTCCCCCTCCCCCCCCCTCTCTCTCTCTCTCCCTCCCCCCCTCTCTCCCCCTCTCCCTCTCTCTCCCCCTCCCCCCTCTCTCTCTCTCTCCCTCCCCCCTCTCTCCCCCTCCCCTCTCCCCCTCTCCCCTCCCCTCTCTCCCCCTCCCCCCTCTCTCCCCCCCCCCCCCCTCTCTCTCTCTCCCTCCCTCCCTCTCTCCCCCTCTCCCTCTCCCCCTCTCCCCTCTCTCTCCCCCCCCCCCTCTCTCTCTCTCTCCCTCCCCCCCTCTCTCTCCCCCTCTCCCTCTCCCCCTCTCCCTCTCTCTCCCCCTCCCCCCCTCTCTCTCTCCCTCTCCACACCTGGATTCCCATCACGCAGAGGGCAAGACTGAACAAACTCATCTAAAAAGCCGCCGCGGTGCCTTCAAACCAGATGAACCTCCCGAGGCCCAAGTCGACAGGTCTCAACAACATCTTCAGAGGAAATACTCAGAGATAAAAAGATCTCAGGCTGATTATCCACAAGTTTTTAATAAACAAAAACACAGATATTAGTTCATTTTAGTGTAGGAGGAGAAGGAGTCACTGCAGCTGTTATTAAGACCTTTCCAAATGGAGTCACAAACGGTAAAATGTCACTAAAGAAACTGTTTCATAATTTTCTCATTCCAACGGAGACATTTCTGTATCTTTTTAAAACAAGATAATTTTTCTTTTGACACATTATAAAATCTGGTTTAAAGATATAATGTAAAAAGTGATGAAAAATGAGTCAAAACTTACTTAAATTCTGCACAATATATGTTAATTTGAGCAAGTTTAGACATATTTTTCATCACTTTTGGCAGTGTTGGAACCAGAAAATAAATCAGACTCAGATCTTTATGTAGTGCCGCTCAGACAAATAACAGATAAATCGCCAAAGCTCTCAGGCTCTCTGCGATCGGAAAAAAACCTGACAGTGTTTAATCAAAAAGGACTTATGTGGGTCCGGTGTGTGGCGTGTGAGACGGCAAACAGCGACCCCCGAGAGGCCCCTGAGAGAGCCCTGAGAGGACCCCGAGAGAGCCACGAGAGAGCCCCCGAGAGAGCCCCGAGAGGACCCCAAGAGAGCCCCGAGAGAGCCCCGAGAGGACCCCGAGAGGACCCCGAGAGGACCCCGAGAGGCCCCCGAGAGGACCCCGAGAGGACCCCGAGAGAGCCCCGAGAGAGCCCCGAGAGGACCCCGAGAGGACCCCGAGAGAGCCCCGAGAGAGCCCCGAGAGAGCCCCGAGAGGACCCCGAGAGGCCCCCGAGAGGACCCCGAGAGGACCCCGAGAGGACCCCGAGAGAGCCCCGAGAGAGCCCCGAGAGAGCCCCGAGAGAGCCCCGAGAGAGCCCCGAGAGAGCCCCGAGAGAGCCCCGAGAGAGCCCCGAGAGGACCCCGAGAGAGCCCCGAGAGGACCCCGAGAGAGCCCCGAGAGGACCCCGAGAGGACCCCGAGAGGACCCCGAGAGAGCCCCGAGAGGACCCCGAGAGGACCCCGAGAGAGCCCCGAGAGAGCCCCGAGAGAGCCCCGAGAGAGCCCCGAGAGAGCCCCGAGAGAGCCCCGAGAGAGCCCCGAGAGAGCCCCGAGAGAGCCCCGAGAGAGCCCCGAGAGGACCCCGAGAGAGCCCCGAGAGAGCCCCGAGAGAGCCCCGAGAGAGCCCCGAGAGGACCCCGAGAGGACCCCGAGAGCAGGACGGGAAGTGCAAAGAGCTTGGGGTAAAAACCAGTTTTTTAGATATATTTGGACTAATCCATAATGAGCCGCTGTGTGAGAGTGGACAGGACTAAGCTGCGGCGCGATACAGACCTTTTATGATAACAATCGACCAAAACTGCCAGATTGTTCCCCAAAAAGAGGCATTTTTCATGAGACACAGCAGCGGAAAGATGATGTGGCAAACATGTCAAACTGGATATTTTTAGTTTTGAGACAACTTCAAATCTCCTTTAAAAAAAAAAGAGAAATACAGCTTTTCATTTGTCACTGGCGGTTTTTAAAAAGGCCAATTTTAATTTTTACTGAAGTTGGTCAAAGCTTTACAATGTCATGTGTAAATGCATTCAGGTTAAAATCATGAATTCAGATATTTTGGAGGTTTTTCACGTAAAGCAGTCGTTAACCTTAGAAATGTCACGTGGAGCGACGTCAATCACTTTAAAATATAATATACCATTTATTCAGCATAACTTACTATTTATCCACAAGTTCTTAGTAAAATAATTAGTCAAAAAGCTCATTGTATAGATTTATGATGAGATTTCGTACATACAGATTTTATCAACATTTCATTCTTTTTTCTGGAAATTGCATAAAAATGATGCAAATTAAAAAAAACATGTATGAAGAATCAAAACAATCAGACTGTTTAGGATTTCCATAAGACACAAACCAATGGCTAAAAAATATGAGATTATTTTTTTTATTTTTTGACCTCTTTTCTTTACCACATAAGGCTTACAGATAATCCAGACATGTCAAACTTTATTCTTGATACTTTATTTTGATAAAAAAATATTTGCAGTGTACTTTGATGGCATTTTACAGCTTGCCTCTGGACTAGAGTTGGAAACTAGCTGTTAGCTTGTTAGCCTGTTAGCCTGTTAGCCCGTTAGCCTGTTAGCCCGTTAGCCTGTTAGCTAATACTGACACATTAACAGCAATGTTGAGTAATGTGTATTGTCCCTATTTAAATAAACTAATAAATAAACAATTATTCAGATATTGTTTTACATACTTGATATTATTTATTTAATTTGCCACTTTTTATCGTACATATTTAAAATCCTGAACAGACCGTATTTTTAACCTTTAACATGTTTCACACTTCTGTCTTTTGCACAGATCTGAGTGACTCTATCTCTGCCAAATGTGACATGTGCAGTTCTCCAGTGCGAGATCAATAAAGTTTATTTTATTATAATTTTGTGCAGAAATAGTGAACCTGCCTCTGCTTTACACGCCCCGCTCTGGAACTCACAGATGAATTCTCCACATGGACGACTTCTCCCTGTTTTTCACGAGCTTCCGTGGGCTTCCCCCTCGTTCCTGCCTCTTCAAACCTCCGCCTTGTTCCATTCATCACTCGGCAAAACCAGGCTCTCTTTCTGGTCTCTCTCTAGTCTCTCTCTGGTCTCCCTGTGGTCTCTCTCTGGTCTCTCTGGTCTCCCTCTGGTCTCCCTGTGGTCTCTCTCTGGTCTCTCTCTGGTCTCTCTCTGGTCTCTCTCTGGTCTCTCTCTGGTCTCTCTCTGGTCTCTCTCTGGTCTCCCTGTGGTCTCTCTCTGGTCTCTCTCTGGTCTCCCTGTGGTCTCTCTCTGGTCTCTCTCTGGTCTCTCTCTCTGGTCTCTCTCTAGTCTCCCTGTGGTCTCTCTCTGGTCTCTCTCTGGTCTCCCTGTGGTCTCTCTCTGGTCTCTCTCTCTGGTCTCTCTCTGGTCTCTCTCTGGTCTCTCTCTGGTCTCTCTCTCTCTGGTCCCTCTCTGGTCTCTCTCTGGTCTCTCTCGGGTCTCTCTCGGGTCTCTCTCTCTGGTCTCTCTCGGGTCTCTCTCGGGTCTCTCTCTCTGGTCCCTCTCTGGTCTCTCTCTGGTCTCTCTCTCTCTGGTCCCTCTCTGGTCTCTCTCTGGTCTCTCTCTGGCCTCTCTCTCTGGTCTCTCTCTCTGGTCTCTCTCTGGTCTCTCTCTCTGGTCTCTCTCTGGTCTCTCTCTTTCTGGTCTCTCTCTGGTCCCACCCTCAAAAAACAAAACTCCGGCTCCTGCGACCATTTCTCAAAACGGAACAGGTTTTTATCGCCGCACGTCGCAATTTTGTGACTTTTTCCATGTCGGCGGAACATGGAGCCAGTGGCCGGGCCTTATCCGCAGCCTGCCGTGTGCACACAGAGAGGCCCCTGAGAGCAGGACGCCGGGCCTTATCCGCAGCCTGCCGTGTGCACACAGAGAGGCCCCTGAGAGCAGGACGCCGGGCCTTATCCGCAGCCTGCCGTGTGCACACAGAGAGGCCCCTGAGAGCAGGACGCCGGGCCTTATCCGCAGCCTGCCGTGTGCACACAGAGAGGCCCCTGAGAGCAGGACGCCGGGCCTTATCCGCAGCCTGCCGTGTGCACACAGAGAGGCCCCTGAGAGCAGGACGCCGGGCCTTATCCGCAGCCTGCCGTGTGCATACAGAGAGGCCCCTGAGAGCAGGACGCCGGGCCTTATCCGCAGCCTGCCGTGTGCACACAGAGAGGCCCCTGAGAGCAGGACGCCGGGCCTTATCCGCAGCCTGCCGTGTGCACACAGAGAGGCCCCTGAGAGCAGGACGCCGGGCCTTATCCGCAGCCTGCCGTGTGCACACAGAGAGGCCGCCGCTGATAACATTAGTCAAACCGCGGTATCTTTAAGCTTAGAGCTGATGTCGTGACCATGTCTAAGCACACACGCTGATAACGTGTGTTTGGATAGGAGACTTACACACAAGAGAAAACAAAGAGACACTAACGGGCTAGCATAACTCTACCAGTTTATTCTTGGGTTTTTAAGTGGGTTTTAGGTTCCCTTTAAAGGAATAGTTCACCGTTTTTACATACTGACATATGTTCTTACCTTACCTTAGACTAGTTAATACGTACCTGTCTGGTCTTAGTCCGTGCGCTCTGTCATGCAAACGGAGCAAAAACGGGAGCACAAACGCAGCCTCCTCTGTATATTTTGTAGCACCAAAAGGTAGCTCCCGCTAGAAGCTACCAAACTCTTCCAAGTGTTCCCTATTAAATGTATATAGTTACGTGACGTGTTACACTGCAAAGTATAGTAACACAGAAATGTAACAGTCGATTTTCTCAGCGGATAAAACGGGTACTATATTGTGAGGCGTAGTAATCTGAGGAGCGCTACGTCCGCGCACTAACTTCTCTCCGGAGACTTCTCTCTCGCTGCTACTGTGTGTACTACAAGTCACGCTGCTTCTATTGACGGAAGTGAGCGAGAGAGAAGTCTCCGGAGAGAAGTTAGTGCGCGGACGTAGCGCTCCTCAGATTACTACGCCTCACAATATAGTACCCGTTTTATCCGCTGAGAAAATCGACAGTTACATTTCTGTGTTACTATACTTTGCAGTGTAACACGTCACGTAACTATATACATTTAATAGGGAACACTTGGAAGAGTTTGGTAGCTTCTAGCGGGAGCTACCTTTTGGTGCTACAAAATATACAGAGGAGGCTGCGTTTGTGCTCCCGTTTTTGCTCCGTTTGCATAACAGAGCGCACGGACTAAGACCAGACAGGTACGTATTAACTAGTCTAAGGTAAGGTAAGAACATATGTCAGTATGTAAAAACGGTGAACTATTCCTTTAAGATATGTTATACCTGAGTTAGAGATTTTATACTAGCTTCTTTATTATGCTAAAGTTAGAGATTGTATACTAGCTTCTTTATTATGCTAAAGTTAGAGATTTTATACTAGCTTCTTTATTATGCTAAAGTTAGAGATTTTATACTAGCTTCTTTATTATGCTAAAGCTAGAGATTTTAAACTAGCTTCTTTATTATGCTAAAGTTAGAGATTTTAAACTAGCTTCTTTATTATGCTAAAGTTAGAGATTTTAAACTAGCTTCTTTATTATGCTAAAGTTAGAGATTTTATACTAGCTTCTTTATTATGCTAAAGCTAGAGATTTTATACTAGCTTCTTTATTATGCTAAAGCTAGAGATTTTAAACTAGCTTCTTTATTATGCTAAAGTTAGAGATTTTATACTAGCTTCTTTATTATGCTAAAGCTAGAGATTTATTACTAGCTTCTTCGTGAGGCTAAATTTATTTCCCAGATTGCACTTTTGGATGATCTTAATAACAGTTTTTAGCTCATACTTGGGGATAAATCATCAGAAAAGTGTAAAAACATATTCAGAGATTTGAGATGAAATTCTCTCTGTCCCACATTACTCCTACAAACCAACTGTTGTTTGCGCTTTTGAATTATTCAGATCCAAACACGAACGGGGGCAGACGTACTATTCTATCAGGTAATTTATTCTCTCAAATTTTGCCAAACTTATTATAATTGTACATGTTTTTTGAATGTGATTAATCTTTAGTAATAAGTTCCTCAGCTCCTCAGAGAAAGGAGGACGAACGTAAATCCATCTAACAAATTCATTTTTCACATTACTTTTTACGCACATTTTATTGTTAAGCACTTTGCGTTGCCTTTTGTATGAACTGTGCTATACAAATAAACTTTGACCATTACCACAACCAGACCATTATTAGTATCAGATGTTTATTATTAAGATGACCCAAAGCCTGTATATGAATAGGAAATGCTAAGCTGCTAGCTCAATGAGGCCCAATAGGGGAAGGGCTCATGGATGAAGTTTTGCTCCAACTCGCTCTGGCTCCATTTGACGTAAACAATCTATAGTTTAGCGCTCTTTGTCATTCTGGTGTCTCTATTATTATATTGTCGTTATTCATTCGTACGGCGTTTTGTGTTGCCTTTTGTATGAACTGTGCTATACAAATAAGCTTGCCTTGTAAATTCAGGTGTGAGCCATACAAGGTCCAATGTTAGCAACACATCTGCTCATGTTACGGCACAAAGCTAACCCCGTCGGAACAAATGCCCATATAAGGACGACCGAGACTAGAGAGAGACCAGAGGACGAGAGAGACTAGAAAGAGACTAGAGAGAGATCAGAGAGAGACCAGAGAGAGACCAGAGAGACCAGAGAGAGGCCAAAGAGAGACCAGAGAGAGGCCAGAGAGAGACCAGAGAGAGACCAGAGAGAGAGGCCAGAGAGAGACCAGAGAGAGACCAGAGAGAGACCAAAGAGAGACCAGAGAGAGACCAAAGAGAGACCAGAGAGAGACCAAAGAGAGACCAGGGAGAGTCCAGAGAGAGAGACCAAAGAGAGACCAGAGAGAGACCAGAGAGAGACCAGAGAGAGACCCGAGAGAGACCAGAGAGAGACCAGAGAGAGACCAGAGAGATCAGAGAGAGACCAGAGAGAGACCAGAGAGAGACCAGAGAGAGACCAAAGAGAGACCAGAGAGAGACCAGAGAGAGACCAGAGAGAGACCAGAGAGAGTCCAGAGAGCGAGGCCAGAGAGAGACCAGAGAGAGATCAGAGAGAGACCAGAGAGAGACCAGAGAGAGACCAAAGAGAGACCAGAGAGAGACCAGAGAGAGACCAGAGAGAGACCAAAGAGAGACCAGAGAGAGACCAGAGAGAGACCAGAGAGAGACCAAAGAGAGACCAGAGAGAGACCAGAGAGAGGCCATAGTGACCACCTCCTCCTCCTCCCCCCCTCAAGGCACCGGTCAATATGTTTACAAGGCGGGCAGGTGGTGCTTTTTTGATTTACTGCCTCAGACTTCGGCCCCTACACTGAAGCCTAATGCATTTAATGAAGTGAGACCACCGCGGATCACTGCGGCGCCGACAGAGGGCGAGACCATCGCGGATCACTGCGGCGCCGACAGAGAGCGAGGACACGAGCGGAGAACGGAAACGTCCGAACGGAAAGCAGAAGCGACGTCATCCGTTGAACCAGAGACGGTAAATATTAACGGACGAAGTGACGCCACGGAGGAAATAGGCGTCTTTTGTGTGATCAACACGAGCCTAATCCACCGCAGATAAACTAGGCCTGGTCCAAAACAACTTACATCAGAGACCATTTCAGAGAGCAGAGAGAACCGGAGAGAGAGCAGAGAGAGAGACCAGAGAGAGACCAGAGAGAGACCAGAGATGAGACCAGGAGAGAGACCAGAGAGAGACCAGAGAGAGACCAGAGAAGAGACTAGAGAGAGACCAGAGAGAGACCAGAGAGAGACCAGAGAGAGACCAGAGAGAGACCAGAGAGAGTCCAGAGAGAGACCAGAGAGAGACCAGAGAGAGACCAGAGAGAGACCAGAGAGAGACCAGAGAGAGTCCAGAGAGAGACCAGAGAGAGACCAGAGAGAGACCACCAGAGAGACCAGAGAGAGACCAGAGAGAGACCAGAGAGAGACTAGAGACCAGAGAGAGACCAGAGAGAGACCAGAGAGAGACCAGAGAGAGACCAGAGAGAGACCAGAGAGAGTCCAGAGAGAGTCCAGACAGAGAGACCAGAGAGAGTCCAGAGAGACCAGAGAGAGACCAGAGAGAGAGTCCAGAGAGAGACCAGAGAGAGACCAGAGAGAGACCAGAGAGAGACCAGAGAGAGACCAGAGAGAGAGAGATAGAGAGAGAGAGAGAGAGACCAGAGAGAGACCAGAGAGAGACCAGAGAGAGACCAGAGAGAGACCAGAGAGAGACCAGAGAGAGAGACTAGAGAGAGGCCAGAGAGAGACCAGAGAGAGTCCAGAGAGAGACCAGAGAGAGAGACCAGAGAGAGACCAGAGAGAGACCAGAGAGAGACCAAAGAGAGACCAGAGAGAGAGTCCAGAGAGAGTCCAGAGAGAGATCAGAGAGAGACCAGAGAGAGACCAGAGAGAGACCAGAGAAAGCCTCGATATGTGAACCGTGATATAAGAGCTCTGTTCTCCAGCTTTAATCACAGAACAGATAAAATCCCTTTCTTCTTCAATGTGAGATAATTCTAAAGTTAAAGATCATATTAGCATTTCCAGTAAACAAAATAATCCACCCGTGTCGAGTACATGACATATTTCATGATTTTCCGCTGCTTCAGACGCCCGCACACGCATTCAGACCCACGGGTCAAATGTTACTTCACATGTTCCACAAAGGGATTAATCAAGTTATCCAAAAATCCATAAGTCCTTTCATGTGTGCGCACAAGGACAGGACCAGTGCGGGCCGATGTGGGTTAAAAAGGCTCTCTATTGTCACTGTTGTCTCTGCTCCTGATGCACAGACAAATCAATCAATAATCAACGTTCCTGATCAATGCTGTTGCCGACGGTAACACGGGCGCTTTGTAAAGGACAGGTGCGAGAGTGAGAATGCATTTACCTTTATATCGCTGAACTGAAACAAACAAGTAAAATATTATTATCGGACACTATCAGAGGTGAGAGAGAGACCATAAACGGCAGAAAATGTGACGTTCTCTGAGCAGCTTTTTTGGATTGAGGGAAACCGGAAGACCGAGACTAGAGAGAGACCAGAGGATGAGAGAGACTAGAAAGAGACTAGAGAGAGACCAGAGAGAGACCAGAGGACGAGACCGACTAGAAAGAGACTATAGAGAGAGACCAGAGAGGGACCAGAGAGAGACTAGCGAGACTAGAGAGGGACCAGAGAGAGACCAGAGAGAGACTAGAAAGACCAGAGAGAGGCCAGAGAAGGACCAGAGAGAGACCAGAGAGAGACCAGAGACCAGAGTAGGACCAGAGGGAGTATACAGAACCACCAGAGAGAGACCAAAGAGAGACCAGAAAGAGATCAGAAAGAGATCAGAGAGAGACAAAAGAGAGACCAGAAGGAGACCAGAAAGAGATCAGAGAGAGATCAGAGAGAGACCAGAGAGAGACCAGAAAGAGATCAGAGACAGACCAGAAAGAGACCAGAAAGAGACCAGAAAGAGACCAGAAAGAGACCAGAAAGAGACCAAAGAGAGACCAATGAGAGACCTAAGAGAGATCAGAGAGAGACCAGAGAGAGATCAGAGAGAGACCAGAGAGAGATCAGAGAGACCAGAGAGAGACCAGAGAGAATTGTTGTTGAATCAACGTCATAATGAAATTCCAAATGTAAATGATGACCTGAGGCTTTCCCGTGACAAACAGATCCTCATGTTTTGTGCTGCTGTAGTTTCACGGAGACACACCACAGACATATCTCCTGACGCAGAGCAAGTCCAGACCTCTCTCTGCAACATTTCAGACCTGACCAGACCCCTCACATTCATCACCACCATGAGCCATGTCCCGGGACTCACAGAAGAACTCTACAACCAATGAACAGACTCTGTTTATCCACGGTCCCAGTCCAATGGGAAAAGATAAGACAATACAAACAGAACTGGGTATTTTAACATCCAGGACTCCAAAATCCAGGTTCTAGATCCAGGACTGAGGCTGTAGATCCAGGACTGAGGCTGTAGATCCAGGACTTGAGGCTGTAGATCCAGGACTGAGGCTGTAGATCCAGGACTGAGGCTGTGGACCCAGGACTGAGGCTGTTGACCCAGGACTGAGGCTGTAGACCCAGGACTGAGGCTGTAGACCCAGGACTGAGGCTGTTGACCCAGGACTGAGGCTGTAGACCCAGGACTGAGGCTGTAGACCCAGGACTGAGGCTGTAGACCCAGGACTGAGGCTGTAGACCCAGGACTGAGGCTGTTGACCCAGGACTGAGGCTGTAGACCCAGGACTGAGGCTGTAGATCCAGGACTGAGGCTGTAGACCCAGGACTGAGGCTGTAGATCCAGGACTGAGGCTGTAGACCCAGGACTGAGGCTGTAGACCCAGGACTGAGGCTGTATCATCGTCCTCTTGTGCCTCTTACTCCGCTCCTTATCTCTCTCACACACTTTCATTTTTCTTCTGATTCCAGTGTTTTAACATTCTTGAGCTCCCTCCAGCTCCTGCGCTGCTCTCGTCCAGAGGAGAGAGGACAGAACGCAGACTTCTCTCTTTGACGAACCACAAATCCCGGCTGGTCAATAATTCCAACTCTTTGTCTTGGTTTCTTTCTGGGCTATAATCTCCCGGTTTCTGCTGACGGACGGGATTCTGAATATGACCTTTTCCTTTTCTGTGTAATCGGCTCCTTCTCCGGGACGTGAAATATTGTCGTCTCATTATCACTGACTAATGATGTTAAATTCAGCAAAGAAACAGAGCCGTGTTCTTTCACAAAAGGCGGAAAACTCGGGACGTTCTTGAAATGTTGTATTTTGTCAACGTTTTGGGTCTTGTTTTGGTTCTGAGAGTTTGCGTGAGGACGTTGCACTAAGATGAATATATCAGGAACAAGAGAGGCCTTAAACGGCAGAACATGTGAGATTCTCTGAGATACTTTTTGGATTGAGGGCTACAGGAAGATTGAGACCAGAGAGAGACCAGAGAGAGTCCAGAGAGAGACCAGAGAGAGACCAGAGAGAGTCCAGAGAGAGACCAGAGAGAGACCAGAGAGAGACCAGAGAGAGTCCAGAGAGAGACCAGAGAGAGACCAGAGAGAGTCCAGAGAGAGACCAGAGAGAGTCCAGAGAGAGACCAGAGAGAGAGGCCAGAGAGAGACCAGAGAGAGACCAGAGAGAGACCAGAGAGAGACCAGAGAGAGACCAGAGAGAGGCCAGAGAGAGTCCAGAGAGAGACCAGAGAGAGACCAGAGAGAGACCAGAGAGAGACCAGAGAGAGACCAGAGAGAGTCCAGAGAGAGACCAGAGAGAGACCAGAGAGAGTCCAGAGAGAGACCAGAGAGAGACCAGAGAGAGACCAGAGAGAGACCAGAGAGAGACCAGAG